GGGGGTGGGGGGATGGGGGGGAGACACGGTTAGGAAGGTGGTCCCCGGAGGGGCTGCCCACGGAAAGGAGGGTCTCGGGCCCGAATTTATTCGGGTTTTTGTTTGTGTCTGTGTGTGTGTGCATTAAAAGAAAAAAAAAAAGGACTGTTTCCATTTCATGTTATCACTGCGTTTTGTTTCATTTCTTGTTGTTTCAGATAAAGCCCAAATCCGTCTAAGTGACTTCAGGCAAGTTACGAAGAGAAAAGCCCAACACCGGAGTAACAAAAAACACGACAACTCCACACCACCTTTTATGTCTGTCAGTCAGTCAATCTGTATATCTGTCTATCATCTCTCTCTCTCTCTCTCTCTCTCTCTCTCTCTCTCGTCTCTGTCTATCTCTCTATCATTTATCTATCATCTCTCTATTTATATCTATGTCTATCTTATCTATCGATCATCTATCATTCTCTATTTATCATCTATCATTATCTATTTATATCTATACCTGTCTCATCATCTCATCTATATCTGTCTATCTATATCATCATCTGTCTCTCTATAATCTATATCTATTATCTATATCTCTCATCTCATCTCATCTATATCTGTCTGTCTATCTAATCTATTATTTATTTATCATCTATCATCATCTACCATCTTTATGTTTATATCTATCTCTGTCTCTCTCTATCATCTATTTATATCTATGTATCTATATCTATCTATCTCATCTTATATCTCTATCATCTATTTATAGCTATATCTATCTCTCATCTCATCTCATCTCATCTCAATCTATCTATCTATCTATCTATCTATCTATCTATCTATCTATCTATCTATCTATCTATCTATCTATCTATCTATCTATCTATCTATCTATCTATCTATCTATCTATCTATCTATCTATCTCTTTCTCCACCCATCCATCCACCTACCCATCCATCTCTATCTCTATCTCTCTATCTATCCCTTTCTCCATCCATCCACCCACCCACCCATACTCTATCTCTATCTCTCTATCCCTTTCTCCATCCATCCATCTCTTTCTCCATCCATCCATCCATCCATCCATCTGTCTCTCTGTATCTGTCTATCTATCTATCTATCTATCTATCTATCTATCTATCTATCTATCTATCTATCTATCTATCTATCTATCTATCTATCTATCTATCTATCTATCTCTATTATTATCTATCTATCCTATCATCTACTCTCTCTCTCTCTCTCTTTCTCTCTCTCTCGTCTACCTACCTACCTCTATCATCATGTATATCAGTTTAGAAAATTTATATGGCTGTCCAACTCACTTGGGGTAATTCCAGGTGGTTTACAGAAGTAAGAACCCCCAATGGACCCCCAGCCCCCCTGGCGACAATCAAGCCAACCCTTTTGTGGACTCCATGTCCCTTTGGGGTGCTCCACCCCACCTTCGGGGCCTTGCGAAAGACTGCCAAGGTGGGGGGGTTCCATCTTATCTCTTGCAGGGATGATGTTCCACAGGGAGGGAGCCACCACGGAGAAGGCCCCCTTCTTCTGGGTCCCACCAGATGGACCCCCTTAAGACGGGGGAACCCCTAACACCCCCTGCCTCCCCATTCTGGTGGGTGGAGTGGATGTAGCCGGGAAAAGATTGATTAATACTCATTAATTGGTACTCAGGGAGCCCGCAATCCTTTAGCGACCGTTCAAAGTTACACCGGCGCTGCAAAAAAGGGACGTATGGCCCGTTTTTCCACACTTACGACCGTCGCAGCATCCCAAAGGCCAGGTTATCAAAATCGGGACACTGGGCAACCGACCCGTATTTGCGACGGTTGCCGTGTCCCACGGGGTGGGGGGTGGGGTGGTGGTCACGCGATCCCCTTCTGCCAAGCAACGTCGATGGGGAAGCCGGGTTCACTTAACAACCGGGCGACTCGCTTAACGACGGCGGCGACGGGCTTAAAAACGGTGCCGAGGGAAGTTGTAAAAATAAGCCCAGGCTCGCTTAAACAACTGTCTGGCTCTACCAAGGAAATGTTGGGGCTCCGTCGCGGTTGTAAGTGGAGGACGACGTAAAAGGGGCCTTTTCTGCCCCCGCGGAGCCCAGAGCTCACCGGGCAAAAGCAGGAGGTCCTTGAAACGGGCGCAGAGGGACTGGTAGTCGCAGGTCTTGGCGGGGTTGAGGTCCACGGGGGGAGTCCAGCACACGCTCTCCTTGATCCCTGGGAGGGGAGAAGGCAGAGGCTGGGGGTGGTGGCGGTGGTGGGGGGCTCACGACCCCTACTTGCTTTGGAAACCAACCCCGCTCTCCAAAGAGCAGAGACCCCCCCCCCCGGTTCCCGAAATCGTAGACCCACAAGGTGAGTGGTGAGCAAAGAAACCCGGTTTGTTTTAAAACCCAACCGGGATTGTCAAAAGGGGAGGGCGCTGACTCCCCGGAACACCCCGCACGCCCTGCTCACCGTCCACCATGTCGGCCTTCTCCATGTCCCCCTGCCCTTGGGGGTCCGTGCTCTCGGCCCCCGCGGCGGGAGGGTCATTGGTCATGATGGTGACCTAGGGGAAAAAACAAAAGAGTCTCTCGTCATAAGTCGGGTCAGATCCAGGAAACCGTTCCAGACGCACACAGTGGGAACTCTGCCCCACCGGATCGGGGCGGGGTATCCAATGCAAGCCGGCATCTGCTTGTGGGGAGGGGTGAATATGGGGGCAGCTGGCTCCCTCCCTCGGCTGGAGAGCCCCTTGGCTTCAGCTTGACCGGGCGGGAAAAAGCGAGAAGGTGGTTTCTTCAAACCACGGTTTGGCGCCGTGGGGAAGCTCATCCCGTTAGTTTTCAGAGGTAATGCCCGGCGTACAAAACGGTTCAGTTAGTGACGGTTCAAGGTCACCCTTAAGAGCGGATGGCCTGGCTTGGAGGGTGGACGAGCCACGGTGGGCAACTTAACCGCAGGAATAGACGGTCTGAGATGGTATGTAGGTTCTCCTGCCTGAGCAGGGGGCTGGACTAGAAGACCTCCAAGGTCCCTCCCAGCTCTACTACTCTACTCTACTCTACTCTACTCTTCTATTATTTCTTATTCTATTCTATTCTTATTCCATCTATTCTGTTGTTCTGTTCTCTTCTATTCTACATTCCATTTCTATTTCTGTTCTGTTCTATTCTATT